CCAGGAACTGCGGGGCCGCCTGGGCGAGGAGGATGCTGGGGTCAGGGCCCGCCACAAGATGCTCATCGCATCCCTAGAGTCCAAGCTGGCCCAGGCTGAGGAGCAGCTGGAGCAGGAGAGCAGGTGAGGCCGGAGAGAGGATCTCGCTTCACTAGCTCAGCTAGAGAACGGGGCTGACATTTCTAGGTGCTGGTCTAGCCCGGACAGCCTTGTCACTCAGTTAAGGGCAGCTCTAGAGTCCGAGAAGAATGAAAGAGGCGGTGAGGGATGGAAAACTGCGCTGCGGAGTGGGAATATGGGCAGGAACTTGGGGGAAAGGGTGTCAAGAAGCGGGGGGAACCCCAGGCAGGGAACCGTCGAGCGGTGATTCCCATCTCCCTGCCCCAGGGAGCGCATTCTGTCCGGGAAGCTTGTCCGGAGAGCCGAGAAGCGCCTGAAGGAGGTGGTCCTGCAAGTGGATGAGGAGAGGAGGGTGGCTGACCAGCTCCGCGACCAGGTGAGGGGCTCACTGGCCAGCCTGCACAGGGGCCTTGGGCCGCTGGCCATTCTGGGCCTGTGAAAATCAGGTGCTCGGGCTGGCTACCGTCAGGCGCCTCAGCGCCTTCTCTCTCTGCCGTCCTTGGAAGCTCAGAGGCCCGAGGGGAGAGCAGAGGACTGTCGGGGTGGGAATTATCATTATCATCAATCCATAAACATTTATTTTATGGAAGGGGGAGAGGAGGATTGGACTTCCCAGGCTAATGAGGCAATCTAAGATGGGGAGAGGAGGTAGTGTGGACAGACAGACCGAGGCAGGGAGACCCTGGTGGAGATGGAGAGAGAAGGGGAAGAGATCTCCCACAGAGGGCGCGAGGAGACGGAGAATGGGGCGGACAGAACCGGGACCCCAGAGAGAGAAGAGGGGAGATGGCGGAGGTGGAGAGAACGCAGTGCGGAGGACTGAGCCGGCCCGCCTGCCTGCCTTCTCCCCACCCCGGCAGCTGGAGAAGGGCAACCTGCGGCTGAAACAGCTGAAAAGGCAGCTGGAGGAGGCCGAGGAGGAGGCCTCCAGGGCCCAAGCTGGGCGGCGGCGGCTGCAGCGGGAGCTGGATGACGTCACCGAGTCGGCAGAATCCATGAACCGGGAGGTCACCACGCTGAGGAACCGGCTTCGGTGAGGCCCCACGGGAGCCCCCGGGCCTCCCTGGGCAGAGCTGGGGGGATGAGGGAGGGGAGGAGGCCCAAGCTCCACCCTTTGTCTCCGTCTCTCCGTGCAGGCGAGGGCCCCTCACCTTTACCACGAGGACAGTGCGTCAGGTCTTTCGCCTGGAGGAGGGGGTCGCCTCCGACGAGGAAGGAGAAGAACCAGAAGGAGGCACCGGTCCCCCTGCTCCAGAACCTGACGTCCCCCCCCAATCCCAGCCACAGTGACTCCCTCGTTCATCCTCTGCTCCGAATCCCCTTCCCTTCCTGCCTTCTTGCACTTTGGAGACCCCAGTGCCCAAACTAGGCACTTTAGGCCATCAAAGCCCCCAGCCCCAAATCAAGCAGCGGGCCTGGCACCTAGCTGGGGGCAGGCTTGGGGAGGGGTTCACGCCTGCCTTCCTTCCAGCCCCCAGGTCTTTGTACAACGACAAGGGCGAGGCCCCAGCTTTCCCCTTTCCATTTTGGCTCTCTCCTTTTTACCCTTTCTTCTCCTCCCCGCCATCCCCACATTTCTGTCCTCTTTCTTCCTAACCCAACCCCCCTTTTTTCCTCATCTCTCTCTCCTCTTTCTCAGCACCATCTCCCTTTCTCCTTGCCTTCTCTTTCCCCATCTCTCCTCATCTTTGCCTCCATCCTCTCATCTCCTTCTTCCCCCTCATCTTGTCTCCCTTCTCCCCTCCTCATCATTTTCATCTTCCTCTCTTCCATCCTCAGCCCTGTATTCTCCCCTCATCTCCTCATTATTTTATCTCCTCTTAGGTTATTTCATCCCCTCTCTTCAAGTTGTCTCCCTCCTTCCCTCCTCATCCTTTTGTATCCCCTTGTATCAGCACTTAGCACAATGCCTGGTACATAGTAGGTGCTTAATAAATGTTTATGGATTGATTGATCCTTCTCATCTCACTCTCCCATCCTCATCTCATGCATATTAGTATCTCATCTCTCCTTATAATCACCTCATCTCTTTCCTTCCTTACCCTTTGCCTCCTTGTGTATCATCAGCACTTAGCACAATGCCTGCTACATAGTAGAGGCTTAATAAATGTTTACTGATTGATGGATCCTTCTCATCTCACTCTCTTCCATTCTCGGTCTCATGCTCATCATCTCATCTCTCTCCTCCCTCCTCATCCTTCTCATCTCCCTTTCTCCTATCTCCCTTTTCTCATCTCCTCTCCCCTCCTCTCCTCATTGCCTATTTCCCTCTCCTCATTTCTCTCCCCCTTGTCTCCCTCTCCCATCCTCATCTCATTCCCCTCTTTTCTGTCATCTCCCCTCTACCCATCCAGTCTCATTCCTTCCTTACCTCCCTTCCTCTGTTCTCCACTCTCTTCCCCTCTCCTCTTTCTTGCTCCGTTTCTCTCCCCCATCTCCTTTTCCCTTCATCAGCCTCTCCTTCCCACTTCCCCACCTGATGCTCTGGTGGCTTCTGTGTGATTTAGGTTGGCGTTTCAGTAGCATGTCCTGTTCCCCTCCCCCCCTGCCCTTCCCACTCCAATGGAAATAAACTTCAAAGCCTTACTTGGTCCCTGAGTGCTGCCTTATTAGATGTCCAGGGAGTGTAAATGGCTTCAGATTCTGGAGCCTCCTACCAACTAAGCAGCCCTACAGCATCTTGGCCTCTAAGAGTGAGGGGCAGGGTGTGGGGAATCCACTAGGGCTGGGAAGTGGTGATGAGGCCCAGTCCAGGTTCATAAAATCAGAGCTTGGACCTCAGAGGCCTTTGAAAATGTCCCTTGTCACCCCCCTGCAGACCATCTCCAAGCCCTGTGGAGTGGGGAGCCTCAACCTGATTTTCTTGTGTGGCCCTGGGCACCACCTGCCCTAATGAGGGGGGAGGAGGGGAGATGGACCTTGCTTGTCAGCTGGCCAGACCCCGCTGAAGCCCAGGGAGTCACCCTGAGTCTGGTGAGATTCGAGCCCAGGTCCTCTGCCATCAGAACCACGGTTTGTGTGCAGAGTTGACACTGAGAATGCGATGTGGGAGGGTCACACTCTTCCCATGTACCCTTGCAGTAAGGTCAGGTGCCCCAAATGTCTGGAAGCCTGGCGTCAGAGGTTAGGGACTAGGTGAAGGGGGAAGGAACCCTGTGCGTTAGGGACTCAGCCAACCAGTGGCTCCAAAGAACATCCTCCAAACCCGGGGAAATTGTAGGAGGTGCAACCAGAGCTGGCTTTGAAGTCATCACAGTGGTGACAGCCATTTACCTCGGAGCTTGTGTCTTCCTCTAGAAAATGGAGAGGTGGGGAGGGGGCCAAAGTCCTGGGGATGTGTGTGACTGAGGTATGGAGAGTGCCTGCCTCACCCTGGAGTCCCAGCTAACGAGGCAGTGTCCTGCTCCAGCACTGGGTTCTACTGCCCTAGTGGCGACGTGTACCCTGGCAGACCAGTCCCTTGTCAGCCAGCAGAACCCAGATGTCAAGATGTGGGGTAGAGGAAGAGCTGGGAAACCGCGTGTGTATTGTCACATCCCTGACGTCATCATCAGTTGGATGTGAGACAGGGCCATGGCCTGCCGCCCAATGCCCTGTGGGTGGGGGCCAGTGCCGGATCCAGCAGGAACCCAGATATCCCACGACTCCCCACCCCCCCCACCCCCGCCAAATAAAGAATATCCTCCCTCCCAGTAAGGGGAATAAGGGCCATGTAAATGAAAAGGGATTTTTTTTTTATTTGTTTGGGGGAGGGGAAAGGGGGGTGACATGCGGCGTCTGCAGCGGGCGGCTCTGCTGGTTCGCGGGTCATGCACCCCTGGGTGGGGAGTGGGGGAGACGTGGGGGAGGGCAGGGCTCCCCCCTTCCCCAGTCCTGGGGGTGGGGGGGAGACACCCCCCATTAGCACCAGAGTTGGAAGTTTGCAGACCTTCCCCCCCAGCCGATTCAGATCCGCCTCCATCCCTGAGAGCCCCCAACCCACCCCCCCACACACCCTCCCCCCTTTCTGTGGGACTCCCTGGGAACGGGTGGGGGGGGATCTTTATTGCTATATGTGTGGGGTGGAGTGGGGGCACGGGACCCCCTCCCCATGACCTGCCCCCACTCCCCCAATCCCCAGGAGCTCTCAGATGGGGGCCAGTGGTACCAGGATCCACCCCTATTCTTCCCCCCCTACCAAAAAAGGGGGGCAAGAAAGAGATTCCCCTCCTAACCGTACCCCCACCCCTTGTCATGCGTGGGGAGGGGGAGGCATCCGCAGACATGCAGATCATGCGTGTAGTTGCGTGTGCGTGGCGGCCAGAGGGAGACCAGGGGGCATTTAGGGGGAGGGAAGTCTTCCCTCCCCAAATCCCACACTCCCCAAATAAAGTTGTATCGACGTTTATTTTTGTAAAAAGCTAACTGAAAGCTTTGTTGGGGGTGGGGACCAGGGGGAGGATCCTTTGAGGGGGGCCTCCAAACTCTCCAAGTCTCAAAACCTGGGAGAGGGAGGGTGTGTATGTGTATGTATGTGTGTATGGGTGGTTGGTGAGGAGGGACGGTGTTGGAGAATGTTTAACCCTTTGGCACAATTGTCCCTACTTCTCTTCCCTCCCCACCTGGGACCCAGGCACTCCCTCCTCCCACCCATTTCCAGCCCCATCTAGGTTTCCAGCCAGGGATTTGGCATCCATGGTAACAATAATCATCAGAGAACCCTGGCTTCTTGCCCCCAACCCTGGTCTTTCAGGCTTGGTAGCAACGGAAAAAGATAGAAGAGTGGAGGAGGGTGGGGATGTCCAAGGAGCCCCTTGCATAGGAAACATTGCATAAGGAGAAACTCCCTGCCCTTCCCCGAGAGGAGAGAGGGATTTGGGGCAAATTCTGCGGGTCTAGGAGATATAGAAGAGGGGTACAGGCCAGTCCTGGGTTTGGGGAAGGTGCTTGGGTCCATGCAGGGCATGGGGAGTAGGGGGGGCAATTGGCTTACCAACTTAGTGACCCCCCCCCAGCTGTGGGGGGAATTGCACTTTCTCCTGGGACGCTAGGGATGTGATACCATACATTCCACAACCCTTTGAGGGTGGGAGGGGGTGATATATGATGGCTGAGTTTTGGTAGTGGTGGAGATGAGTTGGAAGCCTAGTGAGGAAAGGTCTGGGACCATTCATGAGCACAGTTAACACTAAGACCATGGCCAGACGATGCAATGCTGTGCTGGGGGTGGGGGGCAGATGTCCTTGGAGAACTCTGGGGAGACAAATTGTCAAAGAGTAGATCAGAGAACCCAGAAGAGGGCTTCTGGCAAGAGCTGAAAGCCCCAATGTGCAAAAGTGTTTGAGCGCAGCTACCTTGGAGATACTGTGGCCAGGCTGGCTGGGGGGTGGGCACACAGAGGACGGGGGTCACGAGATGAGGGAGGGAGAAACTCTGACTCCAAATCTAGCCACCGGCCACAGCCCAAACTCCTGGAGGATGGAAGTGGAGGGGGGGCTCTAGGTGAAGACCACTAGGCCACTCAACATGTGTGTGTGTGTGTGTGTGTGTGTGTGTGTGAGAGAGAGAGAGAGAGAGAGAGAGACCATGGGCTAGGAGGAGAGTACATCACACACTGTACAACCTGGTTGTGAGAATGGAAGGTGATGACAATGCCCTGGAGCATCTGAGGGTCCCTGACGAAGCAGCTCGAGGAGCCTGGCCTCAAGCAGGGCTTTGGGGACATCCCAGGGGTTTCCCTTGTGTCCCTCAAGTCCCATCACCCAGCACCCGCTGGGATGTGGGGGTTCAGGGGGTGAGAAGACACACAACAGAGGAGGATCTCTTGGGAGCTCATGCACATGCAGACCCAGTCCCCACACTCTGCTCCAGGTGAGAGGAATAGATAAGAAAGACCAGGGGGCCCAGGGGGCTCCAGTCCTCAGGGGGAACGTCCTCCTGTACATGGTGGGGGGGAGTTGCCCTGGTCTGTGCATTCAGTCTGGCAACTCCAGAGTTAGAATGTGGGAAGGAGGCAGCGATTGAGAACAGCAAGACGCTGGCAGGGAGGGCGGGGGCAGTCGATGCCCTTCCAGAGGGAGGGGGGTCAGGGAGATGGAGTGATCCCATCCTGGAAAGTCTCATGCCCACTACCACTATCCATGTACACACGCATGCACTTGCACACAAATACCTGTGCACACACATACATGCATGCATGCGCACACACACACACACACACACACTCACACACAGACACGTCTACAGAGCACTACCCCACCACGTCTCCATGCATGGCTCATCCCCTTTGTGGACTAGCAGCACAGACCCATGCCACATTTCACCCCAACACTCCCTACTACTACCTTTAAAAGAGAACAACCCATATTTCCCCAGGTCCACTTCCAGTCGCTCTCTGGGCCTTGGCACCTCCACCCCGCCTTGTTTCTTTTTTGTCTTTGATTTGCAATAAAATCCATAGCTCCTTCTAGTCCAGGCTGGGGGTAAGGTGACCAAGGAAGGCCCAGAGGATGGATGGACTCCCCCTAACTCCCTATTGCCCAGGTGGTCTAGGGTGGGACATAGCATGCGGCCAGAGGCAGCTTATTGCTCTTGCAGAGAATTGGGGCCTTAGGGGAGACATGCACAAAGATGGAATAGGACAGAGGCTGCCTCAGAAAATGTGGGGCAGCCAAAAGGGTGTCCCAAAGTTAACCAGCACAGTTCTCACTTATTTACACATTTCAATGAGCGTGTGGATTTGGGAGGGGGTGATATGGCTCATGGAGACCTGAGAAGGCTTTTGGGGGGTACTGAGGCTCTGCCCCTCCTTCTTGGGGGCCTAGAGGAAGTGGGGAGGGGGTCTGGGGGTTTGCTGGCGGTCATATCAATTGCATATTATTTGTGACCCTTTAAAAAATACCACCCCCACCCCTACACCAGGAACCATCCCCCACCACCCCTGAGTCCCCCCAAAGAGGGGGAATGGGGGCTAGAGAATGGAGGGCAGGGCAGGAGGGGCACGGCGGGCAGCCCTTGGGGAGCCAGGGGGAGTGGCAAGCGGGGCAAGACGCAGGGACACCCCACTGAGCCCCGCGATGCTGCTCAGGCTGCGGGACTTCTCATAACCTGGGGGAGTGGGAACGGGAGGGGTCAGAGACAAAGAAAGAAGGGGATGTAGGAAGGGACAAAGACCAAGAAATGGACAGGGGCCCAGATATATCAGGACCAAGAGACAAACCCAAAGAAAGAGACAAAACAGAGACACAAAGAGAGAGAGATGGAGTGCAAGAGATGGATGGGAACAGATGGAGAGACATACACAGAGACCAAGAGAGAGACACAGAAATGGAGGCATACAGGCAGTCAGACATGAATAAAGAGAGATGGACAAGGATGCAGAGATGGAGGCCAAGAGATAGAGACAGAGAGATGCACAGAGAGTCCCAAGCAATGGGAAGCAGGACAAAAACAAAAGAGAGAAGAGAAAGACAGAGATGGGAAGAGACAGAGACAAGGAGGGGAGGGGAGAGAGAGAGAGAGAGGGAGAGAGAGAGAGAGAGAGAGAGAGAGAGAGAGAGAGAGAGAGAGAGAGAAACAATCAATGCCAGAAAGGGGGGACAGAGACATTGGGGTGGGGGGAAGAGATGCAGGGTTAGGAGGCAGACCAGAGCTCGTGGCCCTCCCCACTCCCCTCCAACCCTGCCTATTCCCTACCCCAGGTTCCATTACCTAAGATGGGAGGAGGGGGCAGAAGGCGAATGATGAGGTGATATGGGCATGAAGCTGCAGGTGTGGGCGAGTGGGATAGGGCGCTGGTCAGTCCCTCCTCCCTTTGGGTCGGGACACATGCTGGAGGACCGGGGATGGTGAGGGCATGGAGGCAGGAGGCCACGGGAAGGGATGGCTGAAGCATCCCATTGGGAAGGCCAGTTAAGCTGTCAAAGGGAGGGGTGGAGATGGGGCCAAAGATCAAGGAAGGGCGCTTGGGGTCCCGGGTGCAGCCATGGGCGAAGGTTGTGGCAGGGAAATGGATGGGAAGGGGATGGGGTCCTCTAGTGGGCCAAAGCTGGCAGGCTCCTGGGGCCCACAGTAATCCCAAGTGTCTCAGGCAGCATCAGCAAGGCTTTGAGAGTTCCTTGGCGCCCTAAGTCGGGGCAGCAGGGGACCCACTTCCCGCTGGGCTCAGACGTTTGGGGGACCTGTCCCTCCTTTACTGCCTGAGTCCTTCCAGCTCTACAGCTGCAGCCAAGGACCGGGGGGGGCACTCCTAAGGATGTAACTTGGAGAGTCTGAGAGGTTTGAGGGATTCTGAGGGCATTTGTGGAGGGTATCTTGGGAGTTCTAAGACTGTCTTATGGCCTCTAAAGGGTGTATCCTGAGAGTACTGAAGGGGTACCTGGAATTTTCTTAGCAGTAGGAAGGTTATCTAGAAGGCTCTAAGAGTGTGTTACAGTGGGGGCCCCCTCCCAGCCAATCCCAGCTGCTGACCTGGGGGAGAGGGGCGGGGGGGGGCCCACGGATCTCGAGAGGTCTCAGGCGGTGACAAGAGCTGGGGACAGAAACACAGAGTCACAGGGGGGTGGAGGGGGGCCCCCCAACACTGCCTTGCTGTTGGGGGTGAGGGAGAAACCCCTGGGGCTCCGTCCTCCTCCTCTGTGGTGGTTTCCGGGGAGTAGAGGAAGAGCAGCAAAATGGGGGTGGCCAGAGACACCAAATATAGGAGGAGCATCTGGGGTGACTGGGGGAGGTAGTGGGGTGGGGGGAGGGGGGAGGGAGATCGACGTAGGCTGGGGTTGGGAAGCAGGGGCAGGAAGGAACTAGGCAGAGGATCCAGCTGACCCCATCTGCTCCGGCCAATATTTGTGCTCAGTGAATGGATCTTGGCATCAGAGGGAAGGGAAGGTGAGCCACTGAAGACCTCCCCCCACCCAAGCCCCACCCAGACCATCCCACCCCACTCCCTGGAGGGTGAGCCAGAAGCCACACAACAGAAAGAGAGAGCAGGCAGGGAAGAAGGGAAAGGAGGGGGAGGGAGACAGGGAGGGCTGTGGAGGGCATGGATGGAGATGGAGATGAAGAGGAGGTCAGGGATGATGGCACGAGGAGGCTGAGAACTTGGTGGGGGATTACTACATGAAGGGAAGGAAAGAGAAAGGGGCGCTTGGGGAAGTGGTTAGCATGGAAGGCTGGAGGACAGTGAAGTCGCTGGAGTGGGGTTGGTTAGTTCTGGGCTCTGTGAGTCTAGGGGATGAGTTGTGTGGCTGGGCCTGTGGTGCTCAGTGAAGGCCCAGGGCATGAGTTAGGTGGTAGGAGCAGGTGATGGCCAAAGGCCTGGAAGCTGGTCAGTCAGGAGACAGTGGGTGTTAGTCAGGGAGAAGCTGGTCCCAGGGGGTGAGAGGAGCCTGGACAGCCAGCCAGGGATCACTTACCAGGGGGGCTGGGGGAGCGTCCAGCTAGGGGGGGATCCAGGCTGCAGCGTTGGCGTTGAGGTCGGCTAGAAAGCCGGGTGGGCCAGGCTTCCGCCAGTCCGGGGGGGGCAGCGGGGGGGGCACTGGTGGCTGAGTTTTTTGGGGGGAGGTAGCAGAAAGAGGCCAGGGAATCAAAGGGGAGGGGATGGAGATGGGACAAAACAATAGATGAGGGGGGCAGTGGTGAGGTGGCCTGGGAGGGGAGGAGGGGGGCAAGGATAAGGGGAAGGTGGCAGCAGGAGTGGGGCCCCGCTGGGGTGGGCAGGGGGAGGATGGCAGCTTGGACACCCCTGCGATGAAGTCTTTCCCTTGTCCAAATCTCTACCCCCTCCCCCGTGCCCCTCTCTTCTTCTCCCAGAGGGACCTTGGGCTAGGGGGCACCTGGGGATGGGGAGGGGCCCTAGGCAGGGGGAGGGGGGTCTCACCTTTTCGGATGGAGCCATCTGGGGAAGCTGTGTAATCAGCGAGCAAGAAGCACGCCCGGTCTCGTCCGTAGCGGCCACGGCTCCCAGGGGTGATGGGACTCTTGTCTTCCGGGGACAGGGCTGCCTGGTCAATTGCAGGGCAGTCCTCATGAGCTAGGGCAGCAGCTGCCGGGTCCCCATTGGGGCGAGGGTCTGGTTCCCCAGAGGAAAGGTGGGGAGGGTGCACAGAACAGACAGATGAAGAGAATAGAGAGAGACAGAATTAATGGAATCCTTGAGGAGCAGAGCAGTGAGGGGCTTCAGAGATTACCTAGTCTGAGCCCTGTGTTCTGCAGAAGAAACTTGGGTCCAGAGAGAGGAAGAGGCAGATGGGGACAGTGGCAAGAACCCTGGAGCCAAAGGACCTGGGTTCTGCTACCTCCCCCTCTGTGACCTGGGGCCAGTGACTGCACAGGGGGAGGGGGAGGGGAAGAGAGAGAGGGAGAGAGAGAGACAGAGAGAGGGAGAGAGACAGAGAGACAGAGAGAGGGAGAGAGACAGAGAGACAGAGCCACAGAGAGACAGAGAGACAGAGGAGAGAGAGACAGAGAGACAGAGGAGAGATAGAGAGACAGAGTGACAGAGAGACAGAGGAGAGAGACAGAGAGACAGACAAGAGAGAGAGACAGAGAGATAGAGGAGAGAGACACAGAGAGACAGAGGAGAGACAGAGGAGAGAGAGACAGAGAGACAGAGGGAGAGGGGGAGAGACAGAGACAGAGAGAGAAGAGAGAGACAGAGGAGAGAGACAGAGAGACAGAGCGACAGAGAAGAGGGGGGTAAGGGGAGGGAGACAGAGAAGGAGAGAGAGGGAGAGAGAGGGGGAGAGAGGGAGGAGAGAGAAGAAGAAGAAGAAGAAGAAGAAGAAGAAGAAGAAGAAGAAGAAG